TTCGTAATGCATTATTTTTGCGTAACTCGGACCATTTACGATACTCTCAAAAAAAAGTTCTCGCTTTTGTAACATTTTTCATCGCTGTTCCACTCCTATTAGTCATAGCGTAGTAGTAAGTATAAAGCCTTCATCAATAAATGGACTATTCAGCACAAAAAAAAAAAAAATTAAAACCCTCCTGAGATTGGTCGTTCTACCAATCATTCAAATTCTTAATAAATTTCTTAATAAACACAGTGTCATTTTTAGAGAAAAGATTTCTAAACAATGAAAAGCAGAAAAAGTATCACCTCAAGTGTGATATAAAGTGAGACCGTATGCAAGCGGATGTGTGCATTTTTGTGTTTGAGTGTGCCTGTGTGTAAGTTTATGTGTTTATAGTAAGAGAGTGTGTGTGTGAGTGCGTACAAACAAAAGTATAAATCAATTTTGCATTGAAAATGGTCTAATATTATCTTCATGTCGCTAAACCTTGTTTATAAATGGCACTGTATGTATATAATTACTTTTAAAATTTAATACCGATAAAGTGATTATCTACTCATGTGATTTTAACACAATATCTCATTTATACAGAAGTGTTGTATGTTAGACTAGAGGCCGCCAGTGACTTCGTCAGCGTTTTACATTATTTCTTCGCTCCTAATAGTTGCAGCGTGATGTTATATAGCCTAAAGCCTTCCTCGATAAATGGTCTATTCAACACAAAAATATTTTTTCGATTTGAACCAGTAGTTCCTGAGATTAGCGCGTTCAAACAAACAAACAAACTCTTCAGCTTTATAATATTAGTATAGATATATAATGATCAATATACCGTAGAGCCGGTGCGAGCCAATAACTCTAGTGGATAGATGATTTCGCCCTATAAGTTGATGTTCTAGGAACGGTACATGCAATGAACGGGTTAGTCTCGATGTATCGCGGTTTTTACTTTAATTGACACGATTTACCTGTGATATATATGGATGCCCTAACTATCTAAATATCTAAGTACTCCAATACCGGTCAAATAAAACCGGACTTACGCATCGAGGATTCCGTAGAAATATTTAATGTTAAAAAACAAAACGCCCGTTACACTAACGTCCATTTAAATTCTCATTTGTTTAACGTGACATTAGCTATATAATAAAAATAAAAAAAAATAGAATTTTCGGTAGAGCTTAAAGTTTGTGCAACTCTCCGATAGTCTTCTTTCTTATCGAACAATGTTAGAGAGCCATTATACATTTTCCTGTAATCTTCTTGTAATATTATCACCATAATTTTTTTTTACTTCATTAAAAAGGCAAGGTGAGCAAATTAGTTAACATGTTTACAAAGTTCTTTTACACATAAAATGGAATATATAGATAAATTAAATTATTTATTTACCATAATACTGTTTCATCTTTCTATTACATTAAAGCGTTTCTGTGATTGAGATTTCATCAAACACAACTTCCAAACTCTATATTTTTATAAATTTACTAAAAAGATCCAGAGTGATTAATTAAATTCCGTAGCATTAATAAAAATGGTAGCTTTTTTGATGATTCCTAGATTTTTCTTACCTGGGTGATAAGTAAAAAAAAAAAAATATTTCTTACAACTGTTAAGAACAATGGGCACAAAAACTCCTCAATATTTAATAAAGAGTAACAAAATTTATAATTTAATTACATGTGTGGCATAACAGTGATAGAGTATCATGTATCAGTAGCGCCACACGACTGCTGACCCTGCAACGTGGTTTCATGTGAAAATACCACGATGGCAGATAACCTATGATTATCAATGAAAATAACACTAGTTACCGAGAAATCTACGAGTCTTGAAGTCGGTTGCTAACTACACATCGACACCGGTGATATAAAGTTCCATCATACTCATTACACTATTGAAATACCTGTAATAGAAATTCTGATTAACTTTTATGTGTCAATACACGTTCATCATCATCAGCTCATTTATGTCCCCACTGCAAGGGTACAGGATAGTTAAGGAGGTTAGGCCATAACCCTCCACGCTGGCTCAATGCGGATTGGAGGGTATTAACGTCTGCAAACGCAGTCGGTACCAACAGCTTAACGTGCCTTTCGAAGCACGGAGTAGCTCGGTATAATATTCTTTTGGTCACCCATCCCGTGGTGCTACTAGTTCAATACTCGTTACTTATCTATATTACTAAGGGAACCTGGCCGAAGCAACTCCGATTCGCGCATAAAGGAATCTGTGTCTGCACAAATATACATTTTTTAAATCCATAGTTTTTTGTAATTCCAAAAGTTACCAATTTGTGTGAATTTTGTATCTTGCAATGCTTATCTTGTGGGTTCTATATCATAAAATGTTAATATGATATATCTTGTGGGTCTTTTTTGTATTTTTTACACCTATGTTAGCAAAATGAATGGCATGGATGCTCAGTTGGTAGAGTACTCACCTGAACAGCAGTCGTCGGTTCGAGTCTGGCCTAGCAACCGAGTCGCTATTTTCTGTTCTTTTTTCAAAATTTTTGATTGTGTAGTTTCTGAGATTATGGGCGCGGTAAATTTTTGACTATTTCTTTAATAAATAAATCAATAAATAATTATAGGGTCGTATCCTTTTCAATAATGCAATATGTAAAACGGGGGGACCGTTTTACATATTGCATCAGTGAATGACTGAAAATAATAAATGTAATTTCATCTAATCACGTTAAATCACCAATGGCGGCGTAATGTGTATACTTTGTAACATCAGTACGTGGTATCAGTACATACAGTGTATATTTAGAACGATAATGAAGCAGCGAGCGTGCGCCGGCGCCTGACCGTTGGCGCCATCTACAGAGCGTAGGGCGTGACACTGACCCTCAAAATTATGGTTGTCGTGCATACATACACTCGACATGATTAATTATGATTATAACTAGGTTTTTTCTGTATATATGTTAGATATTCGCTTTTAAGCGACAAAAACGTTGATAGATAGAATACGTGTATTTGTTATAATTTCGTCGTGGAAATCTACTGAAAAATATTTAATTGAACATAGCTGAATTAAAAAATTGTGCTGAAACAAAAACAAAAAGACACAAAATCCCTCCCGAATTTTGCCAATACTCTCGTAATTCTCAAGTTTTCCAAGTTTTTGTTTCATGGACTAAGGACTTTTTGATGGCATTAATGTTCATAAAATATACCATACTTTTGAATTTATTTGAAAACTTAATATTTTTATAAATATCAAGTCGTAATCTGTTTTGAGTCATATAATTTTCATTGTGAAAATGATATTTTTCTGTTTGTATTAACCCTTATTATTAACAAGATCTTATTTCGGGTTAGGAAATGACGAAACTAGTAATTATGAGACTGCACTCAACATTGCAGTTCTTAAATGTCGCAAACACTTAATCATAATAAAGTTAATTCTAGTCTGTATTATTATATATATTCATTTATATATTTTATCATGAAGAGTTTCCGGTACTGTTTTATTTTTACGTAATTTGTTGTTGTTTTGTATATTTTTAATGTCGATATTATATGTGTTAGTATTAACTAACACATAGGAGTAATAATATAATTACATAATAGTGTCTTGTTACTAAAATCGTTCGATACAAAACGCAGACGTGTGCTTGTCATCAGCCGACACACGTGGATGTCAACAACCGTCGCGACAGGTCGCTGATTCCTAATTATTGTTGATTCGACTATTTCTGATTCCGTTTTTCTTGGAAAATGTCTATCGCGTATACTGCATGCTTAAGCAAGCAAATGCTGCATACTTAATCATTTTTAATATAGGTTAATTATATGCTAAAAATTGTATCTTTAGACGGTAAAAATAATAATAATCTAATTTTAGCGACAAGCATTGTTCATTTAAAACCTTACTTTTAATTCAATACTACAATTGTGAAGATTGAGGATGTTTCTTGTATGGGAGCCCCCTTAGATATGCATTTTATTCTGTTTTTTAGTATTTGTTGTTATATAGGCAACAGAAGTACATTAACTAGCAAGATTTCAACTATCTAACGGTAACAGCAGCTTAATCATTTGTCCTCGAAAAAAACATGTCGAAGTAGAAAAGTGAAACGAAATACCGTCTCATCCTTTAAGTGAGCGCTAATGGCAATATATTTTTGACTAACTGTAGCTACTTCCGGTTAATACTTATGTAAAATATAATGGCGAAAAAAATATAAATATCGTAGGACTGCATTGCAATTCATACAATTTTGTAAATATATGTTGATTTCGATGGACAGACGTATTTTCTATGACAAGAGAAAAGTTAAGACATATTAATGTTGGTTGGTATTATTATGGGTTGCCAGATGATATCAAAATATCAAATGTGTCACTCATTTTAATTTTATAATTTAATTATTCAAATTTTTAATTGACAAGTGTATATACAACACTTTAAAAAATCGACAAGTTTTTAAAGATTAGATAGTTGAAAACAAATCTTGAAAAATAAATAACTATTCAATAATTAAAATGATACGATGGGCTGTTTTTTACGATAATTATTCCAAAAAAATTTGGCTTTGTTTTCATTTTAAATATTTTTTTTTATAGTAGTTCCAAATAGTTCGCAGTAGATTGGTACAATAAAACGATATTAAAAGAAATTGTAGGATTATATTAAGGTTTATCAATATAATAAACAAATACAATACTCTCAGCTCGTATTAGTATAATATTTAAATAAATATCGTTAAAAGGACAGCTATGATTGTATAAACTCAAAACTACCAAACAGATTTAATAAAACATTTTACCAATAAAAAGCTTAATAAACATAAGGCACGAAGTAAATGCAGAATTGAATGTATTCCCGCGATATGGCATTTATAAATTATCAACCGCATTTTCAAAATTTCAAAATCGGTGTAGTAGTTTCTCAGTTTATTTAATACAAACAAACAACTACGAAACGAATATTATAATATTGGTATAAAGGAAAATATGGAGAATTATATGTATTTAAAGTCATCTTTTTGTCGATAGGTATATACTCGCATAAGCATCTGGACACTTCACAAATAGAGGTCGTGACACCACTGAAGGTGACACGGGAGGGAGTGCTTGTGTCGCAAGCGGTGGAGCACGCGCACGAGCACGGGCACGCGCGCGCACGACGAGACCTCAGCGGCAGGGAGCACAGGCTCCCGCACACGCTGCACTACAACCTCACCGTCGGCGGCCGAGACCTCAGGCTTGACTTACGGTAAGATACACTACTCATTACCGCGTCGCCAGACATGTAGCCACTTATTTGATCACATAATTGTTGACACTATGTGGCACGGGTATTTTTACTTTTACCCAGTTGCACAAACGAGCTTTAAGGTTTAATGTTTTGTTTTTTTTTTTCGGTAATGTCGGTTTAACCAAAGGCAATTTTAATGGACGTTTCTGAAAATGGAGTTCTGATTCAACATATTTCTGTGCTTATATTTTTTATTAAAAGTAAAGTGTGTGGCGCGGCCTTTAGGCCTCTCTTTCAGACCGTATAGATTTTGAAAGTGTAAAATGGACGATGAATATATATTTTTAATTAAATAATTCCGACTTCAAAAAAGATTAAAACGAATGAAAAATAATTTTGTCTTATAAGCGCTTTGTATATAAAAAATCGCTTAAGTTCAGTAGAAACTTTTTAGTCTTCCGATAAGCTGACTTTAGTAGTACCCATTAGAAATCGCTTAAGTTCAGTAGAAGCTTTTTAGTCTTCCGATAAGCTGACTTTAGTAGTTTTAACCTACCTTTAGTACCTTTTCGAAAACTTCAGTCTCCGTTTGAAAAGATTATTTTTTGATCTTTATTTTGTAATTTGAATTTTGTTTGTTTATATTTTATCATTATACTGTATGTGTCAGTAGTTTATAAACATTACAATTTCTAAGCTATCTAACCTATATTCATTTCTAAGCTATTAACTGAGCGTGGAAGTCACTTTATTATATTATAACAATATAAAAGCCATTCCCTCAATCGTCTTTTACGATTTACTTAACATGCCAAGTAATTGACTCATTATGTGATATTCTTTCGTTAGCCAGAGCCACTTTTAAAATAAAAAAGGAATTAAAATAAAAAAAACAATAACAGGCACTGTGATTGTGTATTAAAAATATGATAACAAAGAATCACGTCCAATATCTAACATCACATGTAATTACTAAACAAAATTACAATAAAACACATTCATTTATTATCGAAATGTCTCCCTGATAACCCGCGGTCATGTGAAATTTTAGTCTGCGGATTAAATTATGTGCTCGTTGATAAATGACATAAAGAGGCGAGTGTCGATATTTCGGTTAAATATTGACATAATTTGCGAATCAATTTTTTAAGAAATATACCGATGAGCCATTTTTATCTTGACTCGGTTGCCTTGCACACAAAACAGTATCTGTTTTTGTGTCACATCAATTATCTTACGGATTAAGTTTATTTTAATACATATGATACGCTCAATGATCGAAACCGTTCATAGAGCGAAAAAATAGTTAATAACGCGTTATGGCAATCGCAGAATAACCATATAGTGAAATTCATGTTATGAGTGACAGAAACACTCAGGACGCTTTGTGGCAATCTCAGAATAACCACATAGCGTTATCCATATCGTGGCTGTCATGCTATTCGTCCTCAACGCGTTGTGGCAATGAAGAAAAGACGCGTTCATTAATAGGATTTACTAGCTCTTTCATTTTACAATAACGATTCACTTCTGGCACTTCGCTGGCCGCTGACGCGGCACGCTCGCTTTGCTCGCTCGTCTCATGCGTTGTTTGTTTTACTCTAACCTAACCTAATCAAATATGGTTCAATACGCTTCATGGTTTCTTCATTGCCACAATGCGTTGTGGTCGAATTCTGTTTAAAAGCAGACTGAAACTTATCATGGAGCCCTTTTTAAAATGAGTATTATCTCAGGAAAGTCACAATTATAGAGCAATTCTGCTGCAATTATTATTAAGTAGTTGAGACTGCTGAGAATAAAAATTAACAGAATTGAAGCGATGTTCCTTTATCGTAGGTAACCAGGTATGGAATGTAATTGCACATCCTGAGTAGTAAATGTAAGTTTTATGTGAACGAGTAAAAAATTTGTATGGAAAATTGTACTTCTTAATAGTTACCGCTAGGGGCGCTATGCCAGTTTCCATATTCAAATCGTAACGATCGAAAATAAACGTAAAAGTCAAAAAATGTACACCTACACTCGTATATATAGTCAAATTAAAGTAATTAGTTGAGTAAAATTAATAACTTAAGCAAGTATTTTTAACCAGTAGACGACTATTTGGTTCAATACAAAACAAAACAAAATCCTACATGCTAGGCTTAAAACTGAATCAGTGTGCCTTTATCTTCTTAAACTTCATTTTTTTAATTAAGTACGAGCTGTCAATAAATCACAATATTAATATTCTAATTTTTGAAAGTTCTAATTAATTAAAAAAGATTGACGGTCAAGAGGATAAAGGCTGATTCAGTTTTAAGTCTATTTTTTACCAACCACTTTGAACTACAACAACATACAAAAAGTTTAATTTGAATTAATCAATCACTGGTGACGGTATGAGTGGCAGTTATTTAAGATAATATTCTAAGATCACCCACAGTGGAACAATATAGGCAGGCGCTACAAAATTATGCTAGTCTGACATTGTGATATTTATGTTTACAAAATGTTTAATAAAACAAACTCCATTTGATAATCATCTGTCTGTTACATGCTGGCCAGCATAGCTATTCTGTTTATGTTATTCTGAAAACGACTCGAACTCGACGTCGAAATCAAATAACAGCTATTTTAAAATATAATAAGTATTTTATTTAATTGGAATTCTATGCTGTCAAAGTGCTACTTTTTAAGGCCTTCTTGTGCCTCCGCTTACGTTGCCATACAAATACACATCGAAAGCAAAGAGGCGCTCACTTGATTTAATACATTCTAATCACAGAGAAAAAACTAATGCAGTTGTAAAAAAATGAAATCAAAAGAATATATCAAAATCTATCTTTGTACATATTTTTATATATGTATGTAGTTAATATGACATATACGATACTAGTCGTAAAATCGATCCATAAAACCTATTTAGAGACATCTTTGCGATTTTTTCTATCGAGCCAATTATGGAAATTTATGTTTTTAGCAATTGAACATATGATAAATTTTCATAAAATGATTTTTTATTTTTGAATTAGCCTAAGAATAAAATTGGTTAAAAGTGGTAATTTCTTACAACTAGGAGATTAACAGAATAGTGTAGCTAGAAGGAGAGAAGAATATAATATAATGGAAAAATATTTCATGTACGTTTTTAAGAATACAGTAGGCCTTATTAGGTACTTTAAAAACAATCAACTAGAATGTGTTAAATGCATATGTGATGATATGAAAGAGAGTTTCTCCTCCGGTTGGTAATTGACCGTGAACGGTGACAAGCGTGTAATATACTTTTGGCATCTGTTATCTGTTTACATAATTAGATAAATAGAATCCATTCATGACATCGAGATAACAGCGCGGAAGCAATAGACACATTGGTTTTTTGTACGTTATTAAATTAATATCGATGCGTTTTGTATGTTACGATTGTAAGTCTATATTTTCTTTTTGGAACGGTTTTTATCATAGGTACACATTTTTAATTAACTTATTTTTTTCAGTCCTACCAAAATATAATAACTTGCATACGTTCGTATTAATGAATACGTATTGAATATAATCGTAGGTTGAAAAATGCTTGGTTGCAAAAAACAAAATAATGCCATTAATAGCAAAACGTGACAATAGAAACGAAACGGTAGTCTCAGTTTCGACCGAATAATATTTTGATCGAGTTGTCAATTGACAACTCATAATTGAGAGATATCATCATCTTAAATTTGTGATTTTCAGCTTTTTTTTTACTTTAAAAATTAATCTTTTACATCGCCATGACATGACAAGACGACAAAAAACTTAGAATATTAATAGATAATATAAATCTACAATTATTTTAGCAGATTATTTTATTTTTTAATAGATTAATACACATTAACCTAGATATAAATGTTAAAAATTTAACGTATTAGTGTCCGATTTTAAAATAAACCCTTTTTAATTTGTTCCGAAACTACTGAACCGATTGAATTGAAATTTGGTTCACGTTATATAAAACAATGAACCAAAAGATTTGATCTTTTTGACTATTGAGACTATACATCACATAAAATAGTTTTTTTATGCAAATTTTAATATTAAAAAATTTATTGTTATTTTAGAGACCCTCCTGAGGCGTTTTTACTCCGAAACTCTAGAACCTAGACTTGTGAATGAAAAATATAGAAACTTTATCACATATTACAGGAAAACACATAAAAGTTTTTCTTTTTTAAAATTTTAATATTTGGTCAGAACCCTCAATGCGCGAGCCCGGCTTGCTTTTGGGCGGTTTTTTTTTCTCGTTCTCGCGTATTATACAACCTCCAACCAAATGTAGTCAATCCTTGATAACTTTTCACCAGTTTCAACACCCCATGTGCGGCTAATTGGAAATGCTAAATGAGTTACCATGATTGATGCTTTTATCGCGAAAGCTGTTTTACGAGTCTGGGGACATGATAACGCGATGGTGACGTGTGCGACCGGCCTTGAAACGACCGTCTCGGTTCCGACGAACGACGAACATAAATCTTTTTGTAAATCCCGTCATACCCCTTTTTGGCACTGCCGGAGATCCTTTGTTGATGTTAGTTGTATTAGATTTTTCAATTTCGATTCTTAGATGTCTTTGTTATAGATTTTTTGTAGATTTATTTAATTAGTGGGTACAACCTTGATTTGGGGAAGTTTGGTCTGCGATTGCGAATGCTAAGTAACTTTCTTAGAGAGAGTTTTATTATCTTAAGCTCGTCCTTGAAGTAATGTGACGAGGAATGTACCATTAACTTACACTTATTGAAGAAATATACAAAAAACCTACACATAGTACCTATGTCGATAAAAAAGTGTTTTGGCCATTACTCTATCACTCGCTTTCTGAATTGAGAATTTAAAGTTAAGACATTTTAAACGTCATTTAAACAGATTTTCGTTTCTGTTTATAATCTTTTTAGTGAATAGCAGGTAGCAGTTTGATAAAACTAGAACTTTTTGCCACTTGTTGAACTAAAGTGAATAATCAGTTGAGATTTTGTACTTATCTCAGTTCAGAAACCGGC